ATCGGCTCGACGATGACCGTCTTGTAATTTCCCGTGCCTAACGTGATTGCTCTTGTCGCATTCATCTATCCGACTTCCGTTCTTTGTGAACCAGTCGAGATAACTGATATGATTCGCGTTGTCATCGGGAATCCAATGCCTTCTGATATCCGGCAAATTGGCCACACGAGTTTTTTGTCACATGTTATTGCCCCCCTGTCCCTAGCACTAAATTGGTGCCCGCATCGCAGCGCGAATTTAAAGTTTTTTCGTCGTTTGTATTGTTTTGGTGAATTCGTTTCCTTTTTTCTCTATTGTATTCGTGTGCTACATTTGTTTCTTGCGTTAACTTTAGTACTCTCATCATGTATTTGTTCATCCTTTATCTTTTCGATTCACATTTCGAAAGTGCCACTTGAGTCGTTTCGCAGCGTAAACATGCTTACTTTGGCTATTCCAAATTTCATGGACAAAGTCCAGAGGTTTGGTTTGCGATATTCGAGATCGAACTGGAAAATAAGGGCACGCAGACGGACCGTCCGAGGTACAATCAAGTCTAGTCCCATGCCTTCCTTCGTCGGTTGTGACGCTGGTTGATGGCCATCTACTCTGGTGCGCGGTTGTAGTTAAAAGGCAGGGACGCTTGCCTTATTATCTTGTGTACCGCGCCCCTAACTCAACAACCGAAACGACTCTACCACACTAACGGCTGCTTTATAGGTGAGTTTAACAACAAATGTACACATCACATTCTTATCATGGGTGATTTCAACGTACATTGGTTTAGAAGGCCCCTGCCACGACCGGAGAACAACTTCAAAACCGATCTACAAGATCTAGTAACTACTGTCCTCTTTACAACCACATCACTGTCCCACTCGGTTCCAGAACTGGTAACAGGCCATCTGTGCTGGATCTTGTGCTTACCAACGAGGAGCATATGATTGATGCGTTGGTTTTAGACTGGCCCGTTGGATAGCAGTGATCACGCAGTCATCAGTTTCAACTTCGTCTGCTATGCAGAATATCGGAATGATAACGATGATACATGTGCGAACCATCACAAGGTACGACCGACTCGCCCAGCTAGTCCAGCGCCACAACATGGTCTTTCCTCGAAGAAGAACCCCCGGAAGTCGCCTGGCTCGAGTTCGTCAAACACATTTCAGTCCGCTGATTGCACAGGCTCAGAGATAAAAGCTTGCAATAAGGGCAAATCCGTTTCTTTCGTTAGGAGCAGAACCCGAAAATGATGACAGTACGCAACGCAGCATGGCAAGTGAGGTCCTCTGCAAAGCAATGACCTCCCTATTACGAACGTATCTGGAACGAAGAGAGTGTGCCGGCTAATTGGAGCGAATCGATTATAGTGGCAATATACAAAAAGGGCAGTCGCACAGACTGTGCGAACCACAGGGGTATTAGCCTAACGCCAGTTGTGACAAAATTACTGGCCTCGATTATCGTTCGTCGCCTCACTGCAGAACGGGAATCTCGGATTAGGAAGAGCAGCCGGTTTTCGCCCAGGACGTGGCCTGTATAGACCATATATTTACTTTGCGGCAGGTGCTAGAGCAGCGCCACGCATACCGCAGACCGACAATAGCTGTGTTCCTCGATTTCAAGAGTGCGTTCGATTCAGTCGATCGATCGATTCTGTTCGAAATACTTGCGCGGAATGGTGTTCCCACGAAATATGTGAACATCCTTCGTGCTCTATACTCGAACACTACAGGCCGCGTCAGGGTCTATGGTGCCCTATCGGATAGCTTTTCGACTACAAGTGGCGTTCGAACAGGGTTGCCCGATTTCCCCGTTTTTGTTCAATTTCGTCGTGGATTCTATCATGGAAGTGTTCCCTTGCGGAATCTCACGATGTAGGCGTTGAAGTGCTGCCTGGTGAAACGTTAGTTGATCTAGATTATGCGGACGATATCGTCTTGCTTTTCGACGATGTTGGGACGGCACAATCAACCCTGAATAGCCTATCCAGAGTGGTCCCATTATTACGGTATGCA